ATCAATTGAAGTTTCGTCTGTTAAAAAGTGGTTACATTAAAATTTCAACGGCAATTTAACGTGTTTGCTTTGAGCATCCATAATGAAATTTCGCCGGTGAAACAATCAAAAAACAACACGAACTTCGAACTGTTCACGGATGACCGGACAGATGTCACTCGCAGACAATTTTTAATTTGAAACGTTAATCCGCTTTTTTAATTGTTTTCATGAAAAAGTGTATTGACGCGAATTAAAAATTTTACTGCAATGTCTACATGGTAGTTACGTACAGAATATGAAATATTTTCTGTAATATTACAACTTGTCGTTCTCTACGAGTAAATTAAATAAAAAAATCACAACTTGGCACACCGTTTAGCAGTAATTAAAAATGCCTGCAATGATCTGCAATGAAGAAGAAATTGTACAATTTCATTGGAACATATAAACTGGTCAGTGTAACGTAACAAACTGTTTTGAGAGTTCTGTATAGTCACTACTGTACGACTAATATCATAATTGGTTTTCTACATCAACAGCAGAGTTGCTAACAATGTAAAAATGGAAGTAAACTTTATAAAATTTCATCAATACAAAAAATCACAAATTCTCAAAAAGCATCAAAATGATTTAAAAAATTTGCTTGCGATTTTCATAAATCAACCTCTTACAGGACTTGAAAAACAGAAAATTTTCTCGCTGTTTTCGTAATTTCGACTTTCGGACTTTGTTTGTTTGTCAGTTCTGATGGTCATGCCACACTTGGTGAATGTATTCGGTGGTAGCAAATGTATAGTAACACATCTTTTTCAGATATTCGTTTACTAAACACTCAGTCCACTGCGCCTAAACTAAGAGCCGTTCATAAAACTTTTTGCATAATATACTATAACATTTATAGCAATAAAGAAATAATTTATTTAATTAATTAATTTATGTTTTAGGTACAAAATGTTAGGTTAAAAGTCTTTCATAAGTCACTTATTTTTAAAAAATTATTATTTTGGAAAACTACTTAATTTCAATGCTGTAAACAACTGGATAATATATAAAAGATTGGATAAACAAACGCAGTTAAGTGAGCAGTTGCAGCAAAACATATGTTGTTCAAAGTTTTATGCTAGTTATTAACGAATATTATAAAAAATGGTTTTACTAGTAGTAATTTAATTCTTTAAATACATTTCCCCTAATATCTTACAGAATTAATTTAGAAGGTTGCTCCAACTAAGTAGATATTATTTAATCTGTTGTTATTCCTGAAACTACCCCAGTTTCCGAGTACCAATTTCCTTTCGAGGAATTGAAATTCGTATTGCGATCGGCCATGCCGCATATAAACTTTGTCTTCTTCTTATTGTCCAATATGCAAATTGTGACGTGACTTGCTTCTAATCGGATTAGCAGAGGATTTGGAAGTGGAATTATATTCGTCTGAAAGACCAAACTCGCAAAAATTATAGTATTCCCCTTATTCGAGTAGTTAGTTATTCGTCCATTTCAAAAGTTTTGAAACTGGTATTTTATTTTTTGACTAAACCCAGTAAAGCCAAACACGTGAACACTGAAATTATAGTTGAGGAGAAACATATGTTTGATGTTTATGTCATACTAAAATTGTTGTCAGGTTCGTCCAATTATTATAATATAATTTTCAAGTAATTGGAGAGTTTTGAAAGGCTATGAATAATATTTTCATTGATCCGTTCATTCGTTCATTCAATTCACCGATGTTTTAAGTCAAGTTGGCTAGACACAAAGCTCTGAATGAAATATTATTATTAGACAATCATACGTATTCGTCTAAGCATATTTATGAAAATCACAAACAATCAATAATGATATTGAGCCAGAAAGGATCTTACAAATTTTCACTCTGCAAAAAAAAACAATGAACAAAAAGAACAAATACAAATTATGAAATATAAAATATGTGCTGACAAAATATAGGTTATCAGTTTTTTTTTATTTTCTGAATGGCATATTTATTTATATGTTCTTTAAATGTGCTTGTCATTAAATGTTATTACATTCATACTTCTAAGTTCATCAACAAAGGAGCCAGTTATACTTCTCTACGTCTCTACATACTATCTTTGGTAGATCATGTAATCCTTCGCAGTTACAGCAAAAGATATTAAGAAATCTGAAACAAGAATTAGAATGCTTTGAAATAAATCTCAATAAATTCAAGATTGGAGATGACTTAAAAATGATTTAATTATAAGGAATAATGTAGAGCTAAGTTAATCAAGACGTGTGAAGCGACCAAATCAAAAAAACAAACAATAACGTTTCCCACACCAGCACTTTGTGCTCTCTGGAGAGAACATATGGATCGGAAACGTGATGGGAAGATCGTAGATAAAATTGAAAGCCAGAAATTTATTTAATATGGTCACGTCAGAATGACGAACGATAATCTACGACCAGAAAATTTAAACGAGGCCATAACGACGATTCTAAAGATGGTGATTGGGGAGGCCCAGAACGATATAAGTTAAGAGGAAGATAAAATCTCGATAACTCGATAATTGATTGATAATTGATCTTGTAGTCGAAATTAAAAATAAATTAAAACTCTATACCAGAAAATAAATTTTGAACAAAAAGAATTTATATAGTATAAGCATTTAGCTAATGTTAAGATTTTTTGTCTCTCTCTATTCTGTTTAATCATTAACAATTCAAATTGCAGACATAAATCTTTCAATAGGGAAAACACAAATCACACTTTTCCAATGTACGTTTGCGTTTGCCGCATTTTTATTTTATTATTCCGGAGGGGAGCAAAACTAATTCAAATTCAGCGTAAAGGTAGAACTGGATTTAATGTTGACGTGGGTTGAATAATATAAACGGATTAACTCAAATGTTTGCTTATTCGGGGGAATGAACTTAAAATATTTCTCGTTGGAAAAGTGACAAACATTGTTTTTCGGTCGTTTGTTTTATAATTTCAAAATATCTAATCCTTATCTAAATATTTTATAAGCAATAACTTACTTATTAAATTATTCGGTATAAATTTTATATTAAATAATAGGTGAAAAACAATGAGCTCAATAATACAAACAAAAATCATAAAAGTTAATTAATTAAAATAAAAGAGACAAGGTTATTAATTGAAATCCAAAATGATTTCTAAAAAATCGCCAAAAGAAGTAAGAAGTTCTGTTGCGATTTAATCACTCTTAGATTCACAAAGGGGATAAATTTCCAAATAATGAACTAGGTGATCATGTTTGGAAGTAAATATACAACAAAAATTTAGTTTTTAGATAAGTATTGCAAAATATTGTGACGATTTAGAAACGATATTATTATTTTAATAGGAACAAAAAACATACAACACAATAATTGCATTATTGTAATTATTTTATTTTTTATTATGTTATCTTAAATATTATTTTCATTTTTTTTGATCTCTAGATAACTATTGATCAATTTGGATGTTTATGCAAATTGGGTATATGGTTTCATGGTTCTATATGCATACGTTCGAAGGCTTTTTGAACTTTTAGGAAACAACAATTGTAAATTGTAAATTGAATGAAGACCAACGTGTAAAAAAATTTGTTGTAAAATTTGTAATTTGTAATAATTAGATAGGAATTTGACGAAATGATAAAATCAACCTCCGATACGTAGTACTAAAATCAATTTTCTATTGCATGACATAATTAGCGTGAGAGGATTCGTATTAGTTTTAATTATAAGTAGTATGCAGATTGATTCAAAACAAATGGGAAAAACTAAAGAGGGTGAATCCTTTTTTAAAATAAATGGTAGTTTGTTAAATAAAAATTGGGTTAAAAGCTAACCATTTGGGATATAATGCGTTACAAATTTTTAGAAAGAATAAGATTTTTATTTTTTATTTTAAAAGGGCAAATAGATAGAACGATGAAATATTACGGAAATATTACTATTACAAAATCACACCATCTGTATATATTTTTTTTAATGAGTAGTTCAATTAGCCTACCCCTATCATTCTTCATAACTAAATTTAAGGAAAAACTTATGCAATGACAATTTTTTTTTATTTCATGTTTTATTTAAAAAGTTTGTCTCCTGCAAGAGAAAGAACAAAATGTACCCTGCTGCTGCCACTTTTTAGGGTGTTTCTTATTACGGCTTTAATTGACATTGCTTAGTTAGTTTGAATACAAAATACGACTAATTGAATCAACAATTTATTATATAATAATTTAATTGTTCAATAATAAGAGTTCTAATTCAATAATAGTGAATTACACTAATGCAGAAATGGCAGGTATGCAATTTATTGTTTTTTATGTTCATACTGTCAGTTTTATGGAAAATTGCGAAATTACAAAAACATACAGAAACTGTGTTTTTATGGCATTAATATTTCCGTAATATTTTAATTTTAATTGCAGCAGACAGCTCCATCGTTGCCTTACAATGTCTAACGATTATCTCAAAGGGGCATTGATGTGCAAACCTTCTACTTCGAAGCTAACAAATTTTGTCTGAAGGACTTAGTTCTTAAGTGTCTTTAAGGGCATCTACAAAATGTTGTAATGTTGTAACTAAGTAAAAATTAGGAAAGTTCTTCCTTTAGATTCAACAATGAAAAATTGTCGGCCCATTCAAAAACAGATGAGAAAAGTTACCTGTCGTGATATTGTTAATGATGTCAGAATTGCATTGTCCCAAAAAGCGCAGGTCTCAATGGACCGCGACCTAATTTACAAAAACAGACAAAAAGAAACTAAAACTGAATATTCCTGACGTTATAATGTTTTTGGAATACAATTATATGTTTTCAAAATAAATTTAGAATTTATTTAAACAGACACTTGATCTATGCTATTAATAATTCCGGACGAGTACTCAAAAACTTAACAAACAGTTAAAAGTTGGCAGCATTTTACAACTCTGCGATGCAGGGATTTGCGTTGAAACGCCGTTAACTCGTTCACTGAAAACTTTCAAATGCTAAAACTCAAAGGTGGGGACGATTCAGGCTGATTTAATTAAAAACTCACTATTTGATTGGTAGACCGACTACACGTTTCGCTCCCGCAGACGGACGTACCTGAAACAGAAATGATTAATTAAAACTTTACGCGATAGAAAATGTACAATATTTGCCCTGGAAATACTTGAAAATTAGCTGAAATTTAACAATGTTTTAAGATTATTATTTATGAAAATTGTTGTAGTTATGAATAAGGTTTAACCAAAAATATCAAAATTTAAAATTCGTTTTATAGCAACTTCTGAATAAAAATTTGCCAAGTTTGTTTTATTTATAATAATAGATGATCATTGGTCATTATAAGCAAAGACATGTAATATTCTAATCAAATGACAAGAATGCAAATGCTAAAAGTTGTGTCTACCAACACAAAACGTGTGTTTATTCTACTTCATAGGATACAAATCGTAATAGTATTAATATTATTATTATATTAACATTAATACTAATAATTGATATTTTTATATATTAATATTAATATCTAGAAGGTGGTTTTTCGACATGCGAAATTCTAACTAACGGTTTCTTGTAGGACAAGGTATTGTTGTGTAAAGCTCAAGAAAACATTGGTTTTTCATTATTTTCACGTGCAGCCGATAACCAAATGTTCACCTCCATTAAGAGAAAATACCACACAAAACCTATGACCAAATTTAGGAATTGAATAATTTGATTCATTGTCAATTAATTTTGTAATTTTTGGCAATTAAAAGTATGGAAAAATTGAAATTGCTTGAAATATTATTTACAAAATTTGAAACTTTAACATTAAATTGGAGGTGTTGCTGAACCACGTATGTGAACTTTTTGTCTGAAACTGAACAAACGAACCATTCCTTAATGTTAAGTCACATACTTAAATAACCCCCTGTATGTCATCGAAATTTGTTTTTTCGCTTATAGCTTCATTTTCCACACGCTCCGTCACGACCATATATTTTTTTAATTCAGATTATTCTAGACTGCTTCATATAAGACGCTATGCCAAGCGGTAAAAGCCAGTGGAATTATGGAATTCACTTTAAATGTTCGTTTCATTAAAGACTACGCCAAGCCAATCGAGCGTTTCCAGCTGTGTCGCAGGTCGCGGGTTCGATTATGGTTTTAGTACTAACATGTTTTTGCTTTTCTTTAAAATACCTAAATTAATTCACATTTTTAAAGTTCAGTTTGTTTTGATCTCAACGACCGTTCCAATAAGTGAGGCCGATTTTTGTTGGAGGTCTGTAAAGAATCGTAAAATGCTTAGCAATCATTCAATGTTTTAATTCTTTCTTCGATTGTTCTTATGTGGTTTGTTTATCAATAGGACCAGAAATTAACGGCCGATCCTATTGATGTAAACCATATAGCTACTGCAGATACAGAGGCCACTATGCCGATAACAGGCGCACTTATTAATTTTATTTTTGAGAAGATCCATTCAACATATTCATAAGGGAGATTTAAAATAGCAAATGACCTTGTGACATTCAACAACCAATATGATCGCTGGCGCATCGTCAATAAGATGAGGAATTTTTAGGGCATTATCAAAATGTTCCTACATCCCATTCTGGGAAAACGATTTTAGCCTGCGGAAATCACTGTTTAAAATAAAATTGGTGCTATATGGTGCAAACAGCTTTAACCACTTTTAATGATACGCAAATTGCAACGGTCGTTAAGATCAAAACCAATAATTTGAGTAACTAAACAAGTTAAACTACTTTCGATAAAAGACACCGTTGGCGTGATATTTGCACTGTAATATTTTATTTCAAGTAATAGGCTGGTTCCTCTCAAAGAAAGAGGTACAGTACTTCCTCGAGAGTACAGGGCTCTTCTAGGGGATAGTGAGTCCACCTCAGATAGACTATAAAAAAATAGTTCAAATGTGTTCAAAGTTCGTTAGATTAGATATTGACATTAATCTGTCAAAAATATGCATTATTAAACTGAAAATAGTGCTATGGATTGCTTTTTGGAGCATTCATTACCCTGGACAGTAATGGCAAATAACTTCATTTTCTCCACACTTTGTTGTCACCTTAATTTGTTTTAAATTCAGATTTTTCCAGACTATTCGGTATATGACGCAATCTCGTAATTTATCGTCCTGTAGTGGAACTAGTGTGTTGTTATTTCACGGTACGTAAATAACGCAATAAAGGTCGTGTCGTTTTTCTTTTCCGCGTGCAATATCTGACAAAAGTGCTTACTTTGGGACTGGGTCCGTGGCTTTACGTTTCAAGATATATTACAATACCCAGGGAGAAATAAATTTGTTTTGTTTTTTTCGGCCGCGCTCAATTTTCGTTATTTACCTAGCTCAGTTTATACGCGAATATTTTAAACTGCGACCCAATTTGCGGTAGAAGAAGAGTGCTTTCTTTTTGAATGAATTTTCAAATTACAACAGGCCTGAATGACCCAGACGTGGACGTAGACAGGCGTCTATTTGATTACCTACTCGTCGAAGTTGGCATTGTTCCAAGCTTTTAACCGATTGGGATGTGCCACTAACGTCATATTCATCTGATTATTGACATACAACTTCGTTACGGACAACTTGATTAGGTCACATCTTCAGAGATTAGAACATGATGCATTTTAATCAAAACATTATTCCAATATTTTAATGCATTAGCTTATTTAAAATAGCTTTCTGTCAGTCTTATTTAATAAGTTTCTCGAGTATTTTAAGGCAAAAAGTTTCTGTAAACTTGTGGTCTAAAATGTCTTATAGATAAAAAAATTATTTAATTTAAAAAGCGGGTGACATGTTTCGTCTAAAATGGCATCATCAAATCATCTAGAAAGCTCACAAATAAAAATTAACTACCAACCACCAACCAACCAAATTAACTACAAATTACACACCGTACATGCCAAATAATGCCTGAATGAAACTTGTATTATTGTAAATGTTGCGAATAATTATAAATATGCGTTCTCTAATTAAAGGGGCATATTAAATTATAAAAATCCATAATGAGCAACTTGAACAGTATTAACGTAAGAGTTTATATTAAAACATTTTTTCGCATGACACTAAGATTGCCTCCTAAAACATTTGTCGGATACCATTTCCTGCAATCTTAGAAATGCGCATAGTACAACATAGTTTTAAAATAATGTAACAAATGAATAGAATACATATTCATACATGAAATGAGACTTAAACATTGCTAGTTTCTTGTCATATGATGGCAATAACATGCAAATGCAATGTTACAGACTCACGACTATTTGTTTTCTTGAAATATTGGATAAGTAACATGTTATTTTATATATTTGGACTATTAGAATTACAGTTAAAAAAGATATATAGTATTGTTGACGATTTCATAAAAACGAATGTCTATATATTTGTAATGGATCGGAGCACAACCAGTCTTATATTACTATTATATTTATTTTTATTCTTACTATGTTGTTAAAATCGGACTGCATTTGACTCTAAAAATTTTTTAATTGAGTAATTTCTGAACTCATTGGTGTCCAGGAGGACTTTTCAAACTACTTTTAGGTTAAGAATATCATTCAATTTTATCACTGAAGTATTAACATTTAATATTTATTATATTTATTTATTTAAAATTTGTATATATATTCTTCTACGACCGTTAGTTTTTGAGTATAATTTTGAAAACCGTCATTGGGTAATATCCCCGAAAACATCCGATTACTCCAATACAACGGAACTATCAATACTGGTGGTAAATAAACGAAACTACACATGTGGTTACTAAGTAACAATAAGGTTAGCATTACCTTGATCATTTAACAATTTATATGGGCAAAAACTGAAGAACCAAGAAACGGTTATTATTAGCAAAATTGGTTGAGTAGCCATAACCATTATTGTTAATTTTTTTCAAAACAGAATCACAATAAAGATACAAATTGTAATGAGAACATACTGGTGATTACGACCACACAATCTTTAAAGGAGAATATTTTCTTGGATGTTTTACAATAGTTGCAATTGTAAGAGAAAGGGTCATAAATCGCATTACAAAGCTTGCCTGTTTTGTCAAAATTCCCATATTCAAATAATGATGTATTTCTCTCGTTTATGATACAAAATACTATTCTTGTTGATGCTGAATAGCTATTTTTGTAAATTGTTTGCTTAATTCCTTAAACACGTTTTGAATATTATGTAATGGAGTTAACGTCAGTACTGATTTTATAATTCAAATTTTGCTCAACCGCAATAGTTGTCGCATCTAGGGTTAAAAGGGAACTTATAGATTACGTTCTTTTTATCCTTGTATACTACATCAATCATATGCCGGAACGAACTGCTGCAGATCGTTCACTAGAAGCCCGCCTGATTGTCGAGTGGATTTCGAAGTCAAACCGGACAATAGGGATTTCGCGTCGAATGAACGCGTTGAAATTTTAAAGGCGCTTAAATATTATGATGTATCAAATGGATCGGTTTGAGGAGGGTGTATAGAGCCAATCCAATTATTTTTCTTAAAGTATAGCTTTCTAAAAAAAAACTTTCAGCCGTCATGCGCCAGCGGACGGTTATAAATAAAAGGAAATCTACGTCTTCGGGACCCGGTTCATCCGACTTTAAGCGATTAACCATCTGCCTCTAATTGTGATAATCCTCTTTCGGGCAATCGGCAAGAGATTCTAAGAGTGGTGGTTTGTTAAGGAAATAAATCCTTTTTCAGTAACGGGCGCTCTATTACGATCTGTCGGATCTAATTCACTATTATGTTCTCTAAGCCGTCCATCAAGATTTGGAAAAGATTTGGGTTCTATCAACTTTATCCTATGTCTCCTTTAATTTTTCTCCCTGCGAAAGTACCTATATAAGGAATGAACGACGGCAACAATTCAACATAATTGAACAATTTCCGAAACTGGCTGCGGGAAAATTATAATCATAGAGCTGTGGTGGAGCTAGCCAGAGAATGACCTTAAATTTTACAATTTTTGTGTGTGCACAGTTATTCAGCCACTAGAGACGGGACACCTTGAGGAGGCACCTTCTCACGGATTCGGCCATTTTGCGTCAGGTCTGCAAATTTCCTCTTATGCTTCCGCAGACATAA